AGGTCTAATTTGGATCCGCCCGTGGCGTCACTGTGCTGGGCCCCCCAGCAGGCCTCGAAAGTGGCGACAGTTTCACAGATCGCAGCCCCCCAGGGATGGCGAGGTCCAATTTCAATCCGCCTTGTGTACCCACTGTGCTGGGCCCCCAAGCAGGCCTCGAAAGTGGCGACAGTTTCACAGATCGCAGCCCCCCAGGGATGGCGAGGTCTAATTTGAATCTGCGTGTGGCGTCACTGTGCTGGGCCCCCCAGCAGGCCTCGAAAGTGGCGACAGTTTCACAGATCGCAGCCCCCCAGGGATGGCGAGGTCTAGTTTGGGTCCGCCCGTCGCCCTCACTGTGCAGGGCCCCCCAGCAGGCCTCGAAAGTGGAGACAGTTTCACAGATCGCAGCCCCCCAGGGATGGCGAGGTCTAATTTGAGTCCGCGGTGTGTACCCACTGTGCTGGGCCCCCCAGCAGGCCTCGAAAGTGGCGACAGTTTCACAGATCGCAGCCCCCCAGGGATGGCGAGGTCTAATTTGGTCCGCCCGTGGCGTCACTGTGCTGGGCCCCCCAGCAGGCCTCGGAAGTGGCGACAGTTTCACAGATCGCAGCCCCCCAGGGATGGCGAGGTCTAATTTGGGTCCGCGCGTGGCGTCACTGTGCTGGGCCCCCAGAAGGCTCGAAAGTGGCGACAGTTTCACAGATCGCGCGCAGGACGCGCACAAGGGCAGGGATGGGCCAGTCTAATTTGAATCTGCGAGTCGCCTCACTGTGCTGGGCCTCAAGGGGAGGGGGGCCCCCAAGGGGGGGGGGGCCTATTCGAAAGTGGCGACAGTTTCACAGATCGCAGACCCCCCCAGGGATGGCGAGGTCTCGTTTGAATCTGCCCGTGGCCCTCACTGTGCTGGGCCCCCCAGCAGGCCTCGAAAGTGGCGACAGTTTCACAGATCGCAGCCCCCCAGGGATGGCGAGGTCTAATTTGAATCCGCCCGTGGCGTCACTGTGCTGGGCCCCCCAGCAGGCCTCGAAAGTGGCGACAGTTTCACAGATCGCAGCCCCCCCAGGGATGGTGAGGTATAATTTGGATCCGCCCGTGGCGTCACTGTGCTGGGCCCCCCAGCAGGCCTCGAAAGTGGCGACAGTTTCACAGATCGCAGCCCCCCAGGAATGGCGAAGTCTAATTTGAATCTGCCTGTGGCCCTCACTGTGCTGGGCCCACCAGAAGGCCTCGAAAGTGGCGACAGTTTCACAGATCGCAGCCCCCCAGGGATGGCGAGGTCTAATTTGAATCCCCGTAGGGCGTCACTCCGCTGGGCCCCCCAGCAGGCCTCGAAAGTGGCGACAGTTTCGCAGATCGCAGCCCCCCAGGGATGGCGAGGTCTAATGGATCCGCCGCGCATTACCCTTATGCAGGATGAACCCCAGCAGCCTCGAAAGTGGCGACAGTTCACAGATCGCAGCCCCCCGCCGCAAGACAGAAAGAGGCAGGAAAGGTGGCGGGAGCGGGAGAGGAAGGACAGCGACGACGCGACCACACTGCTCCCATGCAAAACGAAACCAACCAAGGATGGGTTGGGGAAAAACAATACAAATCAACATTTGTCGGATTCTTGAGACAACGACACATGGACGTCCTGTCGTCCACGGCGATAATCTTTGCAAAAAATACACAAAGAGCACACGCGCGCGTTCATGTCAGAATCTACCCGAACACCGTCTCATGTGTTTGCAAGCATTCAACATAATTACCCTGGCGACGTACCCAACCCCTGCGCAAAAGCGGGGCGCAAATAGTTTAGGATACTTTATAAGGGGGCGATGACGGAGCGAGGGTTACATATGTCTGCAGACGGAATTCGGGAGACTCGCAGGACACTGGCTACAGGAAAAGGGCTTGATAAAGCTGATGATTTACAATTCCTGAGTGGCGACATGGTTCACACTTCACCGCCCGCATGGATGGCGAGTCTCATTTGAATCCCGCCCGTGGCCCTCAAACTGTGCTGGGCCCCCCAGCAGGCCTCGAAAGTGGCGACAGTTTCACAGATCGCACCCCCCCCCCAGGGATGGCGAGGTCTAATTTGAAATCCGCCCGTGGCCCGTGCCCTCACTGTGCTGGGCCCCCAGCAGGCCTCGAAAATGGCGACAGTTTCGCAGATCGCAGCCCCCCAGGGATGGCGATGTCTAATTTGAATCCGCGCGATTACCCTCACTGTGCTGGGCCCCCCAGCAGGCCTCGAAAATGGCGACAGTTTCGCAGATCGCAGCCCCCCAGGGATGGCGAGGTCTAATTTGAATCAGCGCGTGGCCCTCACTGTGCTGGGCCCCCCAGCAGGCCTCGAAAATGGCGACAGTTTCGCAGATCGCAGCCCCCCAGGGACGGCGAGGTCTAATTTGAATCTGCCCGTGGACCTCACTGTGCTGGGCCCCCCAGCAGGCCTCGAAAATGGCGACAGTTTCGCAGATCGCAGCCCCCCAGGGATGGCGAGGTCTAATTTGAATCTGCCCGTGGCCCTCACTGTGCTGGGCCCCCCAGCAGGCGTCGAAAATGGCGACAGTTTCGCAGATCGCAGCCCCCCACAGATGGCGAGGTCTAGTTTGAATCCGCGCGATACCCACTGCGCTGGGCCCCCCAGCAGGCCTCGAAAGTGGCGACAGTTTCACAGATCGCAGCCCCCCAGGGATGGCGAGGTCTAATTTGAATCCGCCGCGTACCCTCTATGCAGGACCCCCCAGCAGGCCTCGAAAGTGGCGACAGTTTCGCAGATCGCAGCCCCCCACAGATGGCGAGGTCTAGTTTGAATCCGCCGCGATTACCCTCTATGCAGGACCCCCCAGCAGGCCTCGAAAGTGGCGACAGTTTCACAGATCGCAGCCCCCCAGGAATGGCGAGGTCTAATTTGGGTCCGCCCGTGGCGTCACTGTGCTGGGCCCCCCAGCAAGCCTCGAAAGTGGCGACAGTTTCACAGATCGCAGCCCCCCAGGGATGGCGAGGTCTAATTTGAATCCGCCGCGATTGCCCTCTATGCAGGACCCCCCAGCAGGCCTCGAAAGTGGCGACAGTTTCACAGATCGCAGCCCCCCAGGGATGGCGAGGTCTAATTTGATCCGCCGCGATTACCCTCTATGCAGGACCCCCCAGCAGGCCTCGAAAGTGGCGACAGTTTCACAGATCGCAGCCCCCCAGGGATGGCGAGGTCTAATTTGAATCCGCCGCGATTACCCTCTATGCAGGACCCCCCAGCAGGCCTCGAAAGTGGCGACAGTTTCACAGATCGCAGCCCCCCAGGGATGGCGAGGTCTAATTTGAATCCGCCGCGATTACCCTCTATGCAAGACCCCCCAGCAGGCCTCGAAAGTGGCGACAGTTTCACAGATCGCAGCCCCCCGCAGGCAAGACAGAAAGAGGCAGGAAAGAGGCGGGAGGCGGGAGGAGGAAGGACGCGACCACACTGCTTGCTCTATTCAAAACGAATACCCAACCAAGGAGGGTTGGGAAAAACATCAAAAACCCAATGTTTTTTTACAAAAATTCTACACATTTCGTGCCCGGGCTCTCTTGCTGAAATCATAGGAAAACCATAGGTATCTTAAGAATTCTGTCAAATCCAGCGATTTCACGTCATCGCGCGGTGCACTCGCGATGCTCTGTCATGCACCCAGGCCGCGAATCCTGTGCAAAAAATACCACGCGGGCGACATGCGCGCGCGTCGCCGCGAGCGCATGCTCAAATCCTTCTAGAGTCGTCGCCGTCATTGGCACCGTCGCATGGACGTCCTGTCGTCCACGTCGCAAAATGCATGGCAGGAATGGGACCCGGCTTACCGGGCCGTTCTCGACACGGCCACCTCTGGCTTCCTGCGGTGTACCGGGCCATTCTCGACTCGTCTGGCAATGCGTGCGCGGCATTCAACACGCGCTCGCCAGTTCCCGTCGGCAACCGCCATCGCGGCCGCATCAGCTGTACCAAACCGGCTGGCCGGTGTGACTTCGGCCCCCAGTTGTGCCAGCTTTGCTTCTTATGTTGTGGGAGGGCGGGTGGGACTGGGCATGCCATGCTTGACTCGCTCGAGCTGGCTAGCTTGACTCCTACTCCTACTCCTACTCCCCCTCCGCCTCCTCCTGAGGTCTGGACCACGTCCCCAGGACCCGCTTTTCGTCCTGAGTCCTTGTTCGACTGTCCCGAGGCCCGGCGAGGGCCCCCGAGGCCGAAAACGGCCAACAAAAACCCGCCGCTCGCGATTCTTGCTCGAGCGCCGCGCTCTGGGGCTCGATGGGGGGACTCTCTGCGCCGACGGCGCCGATGCGTTGCCGAGCCGCCGCGGGCGGGAGAGCGAACGTCGGCGACTCCAAAGGGCGTGGCTTGCAGCAAAGGGGGTGGTTTGCAACCGGCACCCTGGGGAACATCCTGGGGGGCACCCCAGGGGGCGCGCGAGGACCTCGATGGAGTTCTCCCGCGCCCCGAGGAGGCCCGACGAGGACAGCGTCGTGCCCCACTGGCCCCAACGGTGCCGATCGCAAACCACACCCCGGCGTGACCATGGTTTCTCAATCAGCGTGGAGGGATAAGCCCCCCGACGGGGGTCAACCTCGCCTCGCCGCCGCGCCGCGACGGGGGTCGCATCGCCTTTCGGGCGCGGTGGCTGCGCGCGACGGGGGTCGATGTGGGGCTGTCGTCGGGGGTGACGCCCCCCCGACTGAGTATCGTTTAACCGATCCCATCCCCACCAGCGTGGGCTGAGCCCCACTGGCCGATTTACCCCCCCAGATGGGGATATAGGCCGTATTCTTCGGGTTTCGAGGGGTGTATCCCCAACCGGGGGTGTAATTTGGTGGGGGAGTCGAAGGGGATGAGGATAGGGATGGGGAGGATCGGTTGAAGGATACCGAGACGTGGGGCTGTCGGCGGGGGCGACGCCCCCCCGACGCTTCTTAAGAAACTCGGGGTACCCTCTTTAGTCGCCGAGCGAGGGGCCGCGCGCGGTCAGGCCGGGTCACCGCGGACCGTCCGCCCGGCCTCACTGTGGCCACTCGCGGGAGGCAGTGCGCCGGTCCTCGGACGCCCAGGCGCCGCCTCCCTCCTCGAGGGGGGGCCCGGGAGCACACAGACACAGTCAACCAGGTAGTAAGGATGCTCGATAAGGGTGCAAGGGCGTTGGACGCCCATTTCGAAGCCTTTCGAGCGGGGCGCGGCCAGCGGAAGCGGCAAAGGATGGACCGAGGAGGCAAGGATGCAAGGGTACCCTTGGGAAGGTCGCCCATCCTTACTATGCGGGTTGACTGTACACAGACACAGATCCCAGGATCCCCCATGTTTCCAACATGTTCCTGGCTTTCGTCGTCGTTTTAATTCGGCGTTTCGACGTTGGGCGGAAGAGGGAGTCCGAGGGCCCGCGCCGATCGGCAAAACAATGAATAAAAAACGATCACCTTCCTCCCCACTTCCCATGTTTTCCCATATTTAGAGGCCTCCTAGATGGGGTAGGAGTAGACAGGGTGGGAGGATCGCGCCGCATCGCCGATACATCGGCGATGCATCCGCGATGCAAAGGCGATGCAACGGCGATGTATCGCCGACGCGGGCGATGCAGCGGCGACGTCGACGTGAAGCAAATCGGGCTCCACATCGAGCCGCATCGGCGATGCGGCGCGACCCTCCGACCCCACCTACTCCGACCCCATCTGGGAGGCCTAGAACTTCTGCCTCCGGGGATCGACGACCAGTTGTGTCTGTGTGTTTTCGTTGCCCTCCCGACGCCTGCCAGCCGCTCCACGCCCCGCCGTCCCACGAGCGGCAGGCGGCCTTCCTGCCGCCCTCCTCGGGCGCCCCCTCCAGGCTGCGGCGCTGCTGCCCCCACGCCTGGGCGCAGAGGAAGAAGCCAAAGGCAGAGGCATGATGGGCCTGCTTTCTACCACCACCACCACTACCACCATAAGTTGGAGGGGGGAAGGAGGTGGAGGAGGAGGAGGAGGAGGAGGAGGAGGAAGAAGAGGGGGAAGTGGACCCCGGACCCCTCCGACTGGTTGTGGTGGTGGTGGAAAACAGGCCCATCAAGGCAAAGGCGTTTGGAGCTCCACGCGGATTCCTTGGATTTGCGGTGGAAGCCCCTCCCTCCCTTTGAGCAGGGACCGACCGTCCCGGCATATCTGTAGGCCTACCACGACATGTTCTCAGAACCCCAAAATGTTCTAAGAACAGAAGCAGTGTTCTTAGAACATAAGCCCGATGCGTAGAAACGAGACAGTCCCAGCCAGAAATGTTCTAAGAACATGTCGTGCAGACCACAAAAGGTTATTAGAAGATTTTTTGGTGGGACTGTAGGCGAGCCAGGACGCTTCGCCACTGCTTCAATGACTTGTTGGAGCTCCACGCGGATTCCTTGGATTTGCGGTGGAAGCCCCTCCCTCCCTCCCTCCCTCCCTGGCGCGCGGAGCGCGCCAGGGAAGGCGCCGGAGGCGCCGCCATGGGGGTTCCAGCGCCGATCCAAGGAATCCGTGCGGCGCGAGGAACTCCAAAACTGCACGTGTAATCATGCAACTGGTTCTTCCTCGGCGGTGGTCCCGGCCGGCCTCCCCCCACCAGCGCTCGGCCGGTGCGGGCTGCTCAGCCAGCGCGCCCGGACGGTAAGGTCCATTCTGCAGGCACCACTCCGTGACTCTTGGATGCAGCAGGGCACCCAGCGTTTCCCTGTCGCCCTCCCTCAGCGCCCGGCGGGCCTTGGTGGCGGAGATGTCCGGGAGCTCTGGCCCGAGCACGAAAAAGCCCTCCTCTGGGGAAACCAAGAGATACCGATAGCGCTACTCCCTGGACCTGTCCCGGGGTGCGTTCTGACCAGAATTTCGGGGCGACTCCAGCGGTGGCGACGAGGGCCTCACAGGAGATCCAAAAAAGGGGAAACGGCCTCCTCCTCCTCCTCCTCCTCCTCCTCCTCCTCCTCCTCCTCCTCCTCCTCCTTTCTCTCCTCCGATCCTCCAGATCCACGCCCGCACGCCTCGCACCCTCCAGCACCTGCTCGGTGAAGCCTGGCCGGCCCATCGTGATGTCCGCCGGCGTGCCGCGGGGCACTCTGTAGAGGGTCCTCGGGTCTCCTCGAGCTCTCTGTGCTGAGCATGGCAAGTTCCCGAGGGAAGGACTAGAGACCCCTGGTCGTCGTTTTCTGATTCGGCGTTTCGACACCGGGCGGAAGGGGGGGGGAGGGGGGGAGGTCTGGCTCTGGACCTCTGCTCAGCGCGACTGTTTGCAACAGTGCGTCCCATGGGGGAGACTCCACCTTCTCGAAACACGGGCGCCAAAACAGCCAAGATCCACTCCTTGGGGGGGGGGAGGGGGGGGGGGGGCGAGGGCCCGCGCCGATCGGCAAAACAATGAATAAAAAAACGATCACCTGGAATTCCTGGGCGCTTCTTGGCGCTCGCGGGACTTGTCTTGGTTGGGAATCTCAATTTCCGAAGTCCGAACTTGCAACGTGACCTAGGAGCTGTCACGGGGCTCTCTTTGAAGCGCCTCCTGGGCCAACTTGGAGGCCCTCGGGACCAGTGCAAAAAGCCAGAAACACTGAATCGCAATAGTTTGTTGTTCGCTGGACTGTCGCACACTCCGGTTGTCGGCCTCATGAGTGCCCAAAACAGTCCAAGAGGCCCCACAGAGCGCCCCCTCAAGATGGCCCAAAAGCCTCAGAGAGAAGCCAAGAGGCCTCCAAGAAGATCCAGAGGGGGAGCTCGAAGGGGCTTAAGGCCACTAGATAGCGATAATCGGCGCTGCAGTCGTACTTTTCGTACTTTGCGACGTCGTCCGCGCCATTGAGATAGAAATGTGCGAACCGCAGGGTGGGCCACCTGCCGGGGAGGTGCCACGGCGACTCCTGCGAGCGGTCCTCGCACGACCAGATCCACGCGTACTCCTCCGTGGCGAGGTCCACCAGCCGTCGGCGCTCCTCCCAGCGGAGAGACGGCTCGCCGTTGTCGCTGAGCTTCCCGGCCACGTGGCCATCGCCATGGAGAGAGGAGAAAAAAGCGGCGTAAGCATAAACTTTCGGAGCTCCGCGCGAACTCCTCGGGTCGGCGCCGGGCCCCCGCGCTGGCGCCCGAAGCGAGCCAGGGGCGGCGCAAGATGGCGTCGCCGGGGGGGCCCAGCGCGGTCACAAGACACTCGCGCGGAGCTCGGAAAGTCTATGGATGCAGTCGGGGCGTTGACCTAAGGAACCCTAAATACTGAACGGGGCCCCTTTCTCCCATACGTTGAACTTCCATTTCCCATGGAAAACCTCAGGAAAACTGAAGGCAAACTGCAGAACCATCAAGGAACGCGGAGCCCCTCTCCAACGAAAAGGGTTCCTTCTTCAGGGCCCCGACTGTATGCTTGGCGGCGAGCCCAGGGGAAGTGCGAGGGAGCAGGCCTTCTTAGAAGGCGGCGGAGGAGCCGAGGAGCCGCCCGTGGCTCCGAGGAAGGCCTCGAGAACGTCCCAGAAGGCGAGAGGGCTTCTGCGAAGTTCCGCCAGCCGCTACAAAGGCCCGCCCCCTCTCGCTTCCCTCCACGGCGCGCCGCGAGTTTGGATGGCGGGTCATAAGCTTGGGTCTCCGGCGGCCGTTCGGGACGATCGGGGCACCCCCAGAACGCTCTCGGCGAGGCGCAGCTACTGGAGAGCACCCCGAGGCCGAAAAACCGCCGAGGACAGACGAAGACGCCTGCAAACCTCGGATCTCGGACCCGGAGCATCGTTTGTCCGGCCCCCATCCCCAGCGGCGAGGCCTGGGCCCCACTAGCCGATTCACCCCCCTTGATGGGGATATGGGCCGTTCCCTTCGGGCTTCGAAGGGCGTGTCCCCAACTGGGGTGGTAATCTGGTGGAGGCCTCGAAGGGGATGAGGATGGGAGGCCTCGAAGGGGATCAGGACGGGGCGGGGGGTCGGCTCAACGATACTGGCAACCCGAAACTCTGGAACCCGCTTCCTCCGCCTCGGCTTGAGCGCGATGAGGCCCACCACCTCGGCGAAGCGCTCCAGGCGGGCGGGCCGCACTGCGCCGGGCTCCCCCAGCAGGATGCGCCGCGCCTCCACGAGGCCGCGCACGTGCCCCAGCGTCACGGGGCAGAGCGAGCCGCGCAGCAAGACCTCCGGGGGGAGGGGGCGCGGCCGTCGGGTGCCCACCAGAGGAGGAGGGGGAGGGGCGGAGGAGGCGGAGGAGGAGGAGGAGGAGGAAGAGGAGGAGGAGGAGGGAGGAGGGAGGAGGAGGAGGAGGAGGAGGAGGGAGGGAGGGAGGAGGGAGGAGGGAGAAGAAGGGAGGAGGAGGAGGAGGAGGAGGAGGAGGAGGAGGAGGAGGAGGAGGAGGAGGAGCAGTAGGAGGAGGAGGAGGAAGAGAAAGAGGAAGAGGGAGGAGGAGGACATACAGTGGAAACGCATGCCAAAGGAACACCCTGCTTGCCTCCAGGGTGCCCTGGGTTTCTGGGGCCTCGGTGGTTTGTTGCTACGGAAAGCGTGACGCTCCCACACCAAGAATCAATGGACGTCCTAGGGACTCAAGATTGGGCTTCTTGTGGAAGGTTTCTTGTGGCCGAGCTCCTACTGTAGGGGGGTGATCAGTGGATGCCAAGATGGGTCACATTTGGCCCAACTTAGCTTATAGGTGGGTGGCACATGCCCCAAGTGGCTCACGGGGGGTCTAGATGACTCCGTCAAGTGGGCGGAGCCCACTTGGCCCAGATCGCGGACCCCCCTAAGCCACTCGGGGCACTTGTAACCACTTTTATAAGCCAGGTTTGGCAAGACATAGCCCATCTTGGCATCCACTGATGACCCCCCTATCCACTGACACCCCCCGCGCCGACCCTCGCAGGGCCCGTGCGAAGACGAGGGCCAGGACCAGGGCAAAATCGGACCAGGACGCATCGGGGATCTCCGATATCAAGCGGTTCTGGTGGGCAGATCGGGCACCGCGACCGCTCCAGAGCGCTCCAGAAAGCTCTGAGAGCCTTTGGGGGAACAGCCTGAAAAGGGGGCAGCCGACGAGCGTCAATCATCGAGGAAGAAAAAACGGCACAAAAGCGGCAACGCTCGGATGGCCGCGCGGACTCCATGGATCTGCGCTGGAACCCTCTCCCTGGCGCGCGGAGCGCCCACCTCGGGCGCCACCTCCCAGCTGCGGCGCTGCTGCCCCCACGTCTGGGCGCAGAGGAAGAAGCACAGGCAAAGACATAATTTGTTGGAGCTCCACGCGGATTCCTTGGATTTGCGGTGGAAGCCCCTCCCTCCCTCCCTCCCTGGCGCGCGGAGCGCGCCAGGGGCGGCGCTGGAGGCGCCGCCGCCGAGGGGGGCCTAGCGCCGATCCGGATGTCAGACAATTACTGTTGATCGGCGTGTTTTCCACCACCACCACCACCACCATAAGTTGAAGGGGAGGTCCTCCTCTTCCTCCTCCTCCTCCTCCTCCTCCTCCTCCTCCTCCTCCTCCTCCTCCTCCCCCTCCTCCTTCTCCTCCTCCTCCTCCTCCTCCTCCGCCGCCTCCGCCTCCGCCTCCGCCTCCTCCACCTCCTCCTCCTCCACCTCCTCCTCCTCCTCCTCCTCCTCCTCCTCCTCCTCCTCCACCTCCTCCTCCTCCTCCTCCTCCTCCTCCTCCTCCTGGTCCCGCTCGGGGCCCCCGAACTGTGCGGTGACGGCCTGCGCGGTGACCTCGGGAGCACCACGGGCCTCACCGTGCGGTGCGTCACCGCAGGGCCCTGGGCCCTCCGAGGCCCCCGCCGCCCGAGACGTCCTCGGAGAACGGCCCGAGCTCCGAAAGGCAAAAGGGGGGGTTGAGAATCAGCTTACGTAGCTGATTTTCCCGGCGCCTCCCGGCGCCGGGAGGCGCAAATGCATCGAGGAATGGGCCCGGCAGCGGGGCCGAAACCAGCTGCATGCAGCTGATTTCGTACCCCCCCCTTTCCCTATCCCCCCCTTTCGTTCGGCCCGAGACTCACCACACTCGGCATCATCTCGTTCCTAGTTAGCCGATCCCCATCCCCGCCCGGATGGCCGTGGCCCCACTGGCCGATTCACCCCCCTGAAGAAGGGGATACAGGCCGTTCACTTCGGGTTCCGAGGGGCCCATCACCAATCACCAACTGGGGTGGTGGGATGGTAGGGATGAGATGCCATGGCCCAATAAGGATGGGGATCGGTTAACCGATAATGATCAAGAGGGTCGCAGGAGGACTCTGAGAGGGTTTCAAGAAAGCAGCAGCAGTCATTGACACAGGCGTTTGAGTTGCAGCGGGTGGCTCGCACTTTCGAGCTTCGGGCAACCAAGACGGCCCAAAAGATGTCCCCAAGACAGCCCCGAGGCGGCCCCAGAGGTCCCCAAAATGGCCCCAATCAGCCCTCCAAAGGGGCGGCCGGCTCGTGCTGCGGTGGCGTCGGCGCTGGTCTCCGACTCCGCGCCGAGCCTTCCGCCTGGAACGGCCGCGGCCTTCCGATGGCTTGGATCGTTCGGCATCGGCCGAGTCCTCGCCGCTGGCGGCGTTCAGACTTGACACGCTGGAGCCGGGGTCGCCGCTGCGTCGACGCGGCGCGAACCTGAAGCCAGCAGTACTGGGCAGCTTCCCCGGGATCAACCGGCCTCGAGTCGCGAGATCGGATCCGGTCGGAGTTTAAAGAAATCGGATCGGGCTGCATCGGCTCGGAGTCGAACTCGGATCGAAGTGGCTGCGCCCAGACACGCAACTGAGTGCTGCGCAAACGTCGGGCCGCGCCGGATCGCCCAGAAAACGAATCAGCGCCCGTCTGACGGGTACTCCACAAACGGGCACGCTGGCAGGCGACCCGACGAATCCGGCCCTCCCTGATGCGTGCGCGCCCGAAAGGGGCCCTGAAGTGGCGGCCGTCCGCAGGTGTCCAACTTACCCATCAGTAAGGACCCATTGCGTTGCCGCTGATCAACATCGAGTCGGATCGAGTCCGCCCCCTCTGCTAGGCGCCTTCGGGTCACAACTCGGGCAGACGGCGGCGGTTCGGGACCATTCAAGCACCCCCAGCAAGTCCTCACCGAGGCGCAGCTGCCGGAGAGCACCCCGACGAGAGAAAACGTCCAAAGACCACCAACAACTGCCTCCAAGTATCAACGAGGACCACGAGATCGAACTCGAATCGGACCGAATTGGGCGCACTCGAAATCGAAACGGACCGATCGGCCGAAGTTTAGGTCGGGCCTGTCCCCCTACAGGCCGATTTGGGACGATTTTTCAAGTACTCCAACATGGCCAAAAATAGCCACAAAATCGTCCCCCGACCATCTGTTGACTGCTTTTGAATGTTCCTCCTGTAGAGGGACAGGCCCGACTTAAGCCGAAATTGAAGGGGCCCCAGGACACACAAATAAATACACACAAATAAAAATATTCCCCATATTTCCCTATATTGTCTGGGCTTCTGTCTTCCCCCCCCCCACTTCCTATATTTTCCCATATTTTCTGGGGAATCGAGGATTAATTGTGTCTGTGTTTTTCCTCTCCTGAGAAATGGGCTCCGAGGCCCGCCCCCTCCCGAGGCGACCACGGCCACCCGGCTGCCCTCTGCCAGCGGCCGCAGCAGCGCGTCCGGGCCCTCGTCGGCGCTGCCGTGCTCTCGGCGGCGCGCCGCGGGGGGAAGCGAGAGGAGCAAGCCTCCTTTAGGCTCAAGTCGGGCCTGTCTCCCTACAGGCCGATTTTGGACGAAGAAAAATTATCAAACAAGTATTAATAATAATTAGTATTGATATTATTATTTTAACAAAAAATGATGTTTAACAACAAAAAACGTGAATAACAGTATTCAAAAATAGCCCACCTAAAAAATCCCCTGGCTATGTTTTACTACTTGTGAATAGTCCTCCTGTAGAGAGACACGCCCGACGTGACCTCAGGCGGCGGGGCTCCTCAGAAGCCCTCTGGCCTCCTCAGAGGCCTCCTGAGCCTCTGGCCTCGGGCAGGCCCTGTGGAAGACTCTCAGGCGACTGGAGGCCTTCTGAGGACCCCGCTTGCCCTGAAGGGGCCCCAGGACACAAATAAATACACACAAATAAAAGTATTCCCCATATTTTCCTATATTTTCTGGGTTTTTGTCTTACCCCCCACTTCTCATATTGTCCTGGGACTCGCCGATTAATTGTGTCTGTGTGTTTCTTCCCTCCTGATACTCGATGTTTGCGCTTCCTCGAAAGAAGTCCCGCCCCCTCTGCCAGTGGTTTTCGGGTCACAACTCGAAGCCTCCTGCAGCCGTTCGGAAATCCCGGCGCCCCCGGAACACCCTCAACGAGGCACGGCTGCTGGACAGCACCCCGACGCGAGAAAACCTCTGGGAGCCAGCGACAACTGCGTGACATCAAGCGATGTGTTGTTTTCAACGCGCGGCCCCAGGGAGGGGTAGTTTCTCAATGGCCCTGGGGCCCGAAAACAGGCCCCAGGGGCGGACAGCGAGGAAAAAAGACAGGGATAACAAAATCATACCGCCAAACAGCTGGGCCTCTGCATTCCCCGCCGAAAGCGCCGCCGATCCTCCAGCATGTGGGCCACCGCTCACGCGGGGGAGCGTTAGGGGGGGCGTACAAGCCTGAGGGGGAAACGTCGAGCTGAAATCTGAGATGCATCCTCGATAGATCGGCGATTGGCCCCCCGATAGCGAATCCCAGCGTGCCTTTATCGGCGATCAAACGGCGATTGGGGGTCGATGGGGCCTCCCCTGGGCCCCTGAGCTGATCCCCGTCACTGGTGGCGTCGGGCGATAACTCGGGACTCCGGCGGCCGTTCGTGACAATGCCGGCCCCCCGGGCCGCTCGCGGCGAGGCGCAGCTGTTGGAGAGCGCCCCGAGGCTGGAAAGCCGCCGAGATCTGGCAAAAACCCCTGGCCCTTCATACCCCCCCCTAACGTTGCCCCTGACCGCCGTTCACCGCCACCGGCGGCGGCCCGAGGGGAGCCCGCTGGTGGCGGCAGAGCCGTGGCCGAGGTCGGGCTCGGGCTCGCGCCGCTGGTGGGCGCAGGCTCGGGCCAGCGGGCACAGGGACGGGTCTCCCTCTCCCCCTCCCCCTTGGGCGGCGTGGGAGAAAGAGGGGAAAGGGCGAAGAGGAATGCAGGCAGGGAGGGACAGGGGAGACATGATCACACTCGTCCTTGGATGGGCCGCCTGCGCTGCGCGGGCGCGGCTGCTGCGGGAAGCGTGGGCCTCGACGGCACAATCGCCGGCCTGCTCCTCCTGGCCGCGTGCCAACACGGCCGGCCCTCCCAGGCGACGAGTCCGACGGGGGGTGCGCCGCCACCGCGAGGGCGGGGCACGTCGAGGGCACGCGCCGGGCGAGGCGCGCAGGAGCCGACCCCGAGCAGCACCGACGGGCAGCCGCGGCGCAGACGACAGGCCCCGCCGCCCTGCCGGGCGGCAGGCCCCGCCGCTCCGTGCACAGCACGCTGGTTTTCCCGCCGCCGTTTCTGGTGAGGCCTGAGGTGTGCTCTGGTGGGGCGCAAGGCCGTGCTTCGCACGGACATGTTGCCTCGCCCTCCACACCTGCCAGAAGGTCCCGGGGACAATGGGAAGCTCCCCGGGGTTTTCGTGGTGGGACAGCGTGGACTACGACGATGACACCGTGTGGCGACTGAGATCCACGTCCAGACGCGGTGGGGGCCGCCCTCGCGCAGCTTCGGGGCCAAGTGGCGGAGCGCCCCCTGCAAGCCGCCGACAGCGGCGATGCGGTCTCTCTTTTTCTCTTTTTTTCTCTCTCTCTCTCTCTCTCTCTCTTTCTCTCTCTCTCTCTCTCTCTCTCTCTCTCTCTCTCTCTCAAACGCGCAGAGGAGCTCTTCACCTGTTTCGACCGGATCCTTCTTTCAAGCTGGGCAGGGCCAGGGGAGGGCGCAAGGCAAGGAAGAACAGCGGGGGCCGCGCAGCCCTCGTCATGCGACGCTTGCGCCTTCCGGAGGCCAGAGACTGGGGCGAGCTCTGGAGGGAAGCACGCGCAGCGGCCGGAACCACGCCACGGTGGGATCGGCGCGCCGACCCGCCTGGGAAGGACGCGAAGGCGGTCGAGGCGCTGGTCGGCGAGGGCTTGGTCAGCAAGGCCATGACCCGCGTCTTCCGGCCAGCCACAATGGCCGCGGGGGCGAGGCTGCAAGCGGGCCTGCAGGCGCTCTTCCCCGCGGGGGCCGCCCCGACCGGCGCTGCCGACCTCCAGCTCCCGACGAGGACCCCAGCAACGACCTGGCCGCGGCCGCGAGGCGCCACCTCAGCCAGAGCCTGCGGCAATCTGGGCCAGAGCCTAACGGGGGCCGTTTTGAACACTGGCGCACGCGGTCTCCAAGGTGGCGGTCATCTTCCTTTGCGAGATGCTCTCCCCGAAGCCGCGAGCCAACCTTAGCTCGCGCCTGGTGGCTGTCCGCAAACGCAACGGGGGGGTCCGGCCGATCGCGTGCGGGAGCGTGCTGCGCCGCCTCGCCGCCGAGGCGCCGTGCGATGTTTCCATGAGGAAATCAAGGCCGCGTGCGGGTCACACCAATACGCTGTTGGAAAAGCCAGGAGGCTGCGAAGTGATGCACAAGTGAATTCTGGCGCTGACTGAGGCAAGCCCACAAGGCGTGGTGATCGCCTTCGACTGTAGCAGCGCCTCCAACAGCGTGCCCCGGCACCGCAGACTGAGAAGCCTCCGCGACCAGGCACCCGCGTTAGTCAAGACGGCGCACTGCTGAATAGGGGGGAAACGACGCACATGTTTTAGACGGCAGCGAACAGACAGCCAGAACAACCGAGGTGCTCGCCAGCTTCAGTGATCGCCGTCGCCTGGACTCGCCGCATGGATTCCCAATCGCGAGATCGTCGCAACGGGGCCCAGATGTCCGCAAATGTGCAGACCCATTGTCAGAGATATACTCGTCCAATTTGCCGATTGACACGTGCGAGCCAGACGAGAACGACCAAATACCAGCCGTTACTGTCGAGAAGGTGGTGAAGGCATTCAACGCGATGAGACGACGCAAGGCTGCTGACACAAAGGGCGTGTTGCTGGAGATGTTCCTCTTTGGCGGGGACGATTTGTTGCACTACCTGTCTGACATGTTCAACGCGATTTTGCGGAGTGGTTGCGTGCCGGCCGACTGGCGAGAGTCTTTCTTCTAACTGTTGCATAATGGCGGGGACACCGCATATCCGAACAATTGGAAGCCGATGGCGATCCCCAGCCTCTTACAAGATTCTTGCTCGTTTGCGCTTCCACAGGATACGCAGCGTCCTCGATTCGCAACACTCTGAGGAGCAATTTGGTTTTCAAAGAGACCGGTCGACTGCTGACGCTCTGACTGTTGCCGAAAGCCTCGCGAGCAAGAGCCTCGAGTTCAACGGAGACCTGCGCAGGGACTCCCCTCTGGATACTGCCAAATATTGAGAACGTTGTATAAACCTCAAATTGGTGCTTTGGGTTATGATTTCCGCTTTCTTATCACTCGGGGCGTCAAGCAAGGCGACGTACTATCAGCACTCTTGTTCAACAGAGTCCTGGAGCTGCTATCCGCGAGTGGAAGGCGAAGCTGAACGACCATGGCCTGGCTGTTTGCTCGGGGACGGAACCGCGGGGCGTCTGTCGCACATCCGGTTTGCAGACGATTTGCTTTTGTTCGCCAGAAGCATGGAGGAGGCCGTGGACATGCTAGACGTGCTCACGCAGACGCTTCGCAAGTATGGATTGGAGCTCAACGTAAAGGAAACGAAGATGTCAGTTGTCCACGACGGTCACGGAGAACGACACTGTTCTGATAGAAACTTCCGATGGGTTTGTGGAGCTTGTGGCTGCGAAAAGAACCCACAAATACCTCGGGAGGGCGTGGCCAAGCAACCTCCGACAACGCGGACAAGCTGCTGTCGACAATCGCGTTTGCTGTGCATGGTTGAAAGTCCGTTCTCTGCAGACTTCGCTGATGAACAAGCACGTCAGCATCAAGCTGCGCCTGAAGCTGTTCGACGCGACCGTCATGCCTACCATGGTATGCGGGCTGGAATCTTGTGAGTTGGACCAGAAACAGCTGGACTGTCTAGACATCACGCAGAGGAAGATGCTCTGGAGAATCGTCGGCTGGGTGTTCGAGGATACCGATTCGTGGGAGGATGCTGGCCGCAGAGCGAAGCAGAGGCTTGAATCTGCCAGGCGCTTGCACAATATACCAGATTGGTATTCTGCCTTATCAAAACGCAAGAAGTATTTGCTGAATCGTCTGATGTCCCACCACGCTCCGTCGCTGCCTAGATTAGCGCACGATTGGTCAGCCATTGCATGTGCGGCGCTGAACAACAGCCGGCCGCATCGTGCAATTAGCCGGCCGCGGCGTCGTTGGTTTGACGGCGTGCAGCTTTGACGGCGCACATTTCTTCCACCCGAGCTCTGCACAAGGCCGACTTGTTCTATCGGGCGCAACGCCGACTGCGCTGAGCCCATCTGGGCGACAAGCGGGGTGGACCCAGGGCGCCCGCTGTCCCAGGCTCTGTTCGCGATCACCGCGACGGGGGCCGTGGGCGAGATCCACAGGAGGCTCCAGCAACTGTCGCTGGAATGCCGGGTGTTCTCCTACCCGGACGACGTTATGGTCGACGCGCCGCCGTCGCACGCCGCCGCGGCGG